TGCCAAAAATTGTTTAATCTCAACTTCGTCTTGCGGCCCTTGGGTGTATAGTTTTTTGAAATATCTCTGGAAACACTTTCTAATATCCACTGGATTCTGAATGATTTTTCCATCAACCTCTAAGTTTGTAACCGTATTTAATCTTTGTCTTCTCTTCAACTGCCAAGCTAGCAGTTTTCCACATTTATTCGCCGACTCAAACGTTTTTGTTTCATTAATTTAACCTTCCATTCAATTTCCTGATTTATCAATTTAGAGTATTGTGTTTGATAAAGTTTAATTTCTCTCAGAGTTGGCTGTGACTTCGGATTCACTCTTAATTTCTTCTCTAATTCTTTTATTTTATCCAAAATCTTATCTTTTTTCTCATTTTGTGTTCTTTTCTTTACTGCATTCTGTTGTATCAAGAATCCCCTCATTACAGCTTTACTTGCGTCCCAGACGATTCTTTTTTCCACCGTAGTGTTCATATTTATCTCAAAGTAATCCTTCAAGACTTTTTGGGCCTTCTTGGTAATTTCCTGGTCTCTAAACAAATTGTCATTCATCTTCCATCTAAAGGATCCAGTTGGTAGTAGTATCATATCCATCTTTACTGCATTATGGTCGGAACAGGTCTTTGGGCAGATTTCCACTTTTCTGACCTTAGGTGCCAGGCCTCTAGAAATCCATATTTGGTCGATTCTTGTCCAGGTCAGTTGGGCTTCAGAAAAGAATGTTCCCTCTCTTCCTAGTGGGTTCTTTGTCCTCCAAATATCAATCAAATCCATATTGTCAGTCATTTCAAAAAAGGTTTTAGGTAGTCTGCCGTCTTTTGTAACATTTTGACTTTGTGACTTGTCCATGTTAGTTGATACGACCCCATTCATATCTCCCATCATTACGATGTTGTTGTAATCCAGATAGTCCAGCATTGTCTCGTGCAACTTCTTGTAAAATTCCGATTTCCCTTCATTAGGTGCATAGATTCCTAATATCAACAGTTTCTCTCCTTGATGTTGTATCTCAATAGCCAAGATTCTTCCATGTTCATCTTTAAATAAGAATTTAGGTGACAGGCTCTCTTTTGCATATATCACCACGCCTCTCTTCTTAACTTTGTCCGACGATACAAATTCCTGGCCCAATCTTTTATTTATTAACACCTTTCTATGGAGCCTCGTCACATGTGTTTCTTGTAAACAGATAATGTCCAATTGTTCTTTTTTTAATATGTGAAATATTTTCTTCCTTTTTCCGGAATGTTACAACCATTAATATTCCAGCTCAGCAATTGCAGAGACATCCTGGATCAATCTGGTTATTTCTCTAGGGGTGGTATCTTCTCTGAATCTTCAGGTTCCCCAGGTGCTGGTGTTAATGCTGGCGTTGCCCCAGGCCCAGAAGGTAATTCAATTCCTTTTTGAAGGTCCTCTCCGTATGTAGTCAAAAATTTGTCTCTCTCTTCCAATGTTCTAACTTTGACCTTTCTCCCTCTAAAAGTAAAAGATATTCCTTGGGGAAATTCCCACCTGAATGGAATTGCGTTGCTCCTTAGTAGTTTAGCAAGTTCAGAATAGGCGGCTCTAAGATCCAGCAGTTGTCTTGGAATATCTTTATATATTTCAATTCTTCTGTCCAAAACCTCCAGTGACTTTCCGTAATGTAGGCCCAAAATCTTTTTTTTTTTTTTAAAGCAATTTATTGGATTTTACAATAGAAATAAATGTAATAAACAATATAACATTCGTCTTAACATAATTTCACATTTTCTTTGGACTTCCTCACATCTCCCGCTCCCACCTTCATCATTATAACATTTTGTCAGCAATTTATCATCTTATTTAAATTCTTATATCTCTTCGATATTTCATGATCTTATAGTTCTCATAAAGAGTTAAACTTTCACAGTTTTTCTTATTTTCTTAAAAACTTCTAAGTTAAGTGGTGCTCAGTTATTTAGTCTAGCATCTTATTCAGCATTCAGTCAAATCACAATGTTTTTGTAGGTAGTTCTTAAATTTCTTCCAATCCTCCTCGATTCTCTCTTCTCCCAGGTCACGGATTCTGCCAGTCATTTCAGCCAGTTGCATATAGTCTATCAGTTGCATCTGCCATTCTTCCAGTGTGGGTAGATCTTGAGTTTTCCAATGTTTTGCGAGTAGTATCCTTGCTGCTGTTGTTGCATACATAAAAAATGTTTGGTCCTTCTTTGCCACCCCTTGGCTGACAATACCCAAAAGGAAAGCCTCTGGTTTCTTAGTGAAAGTATATTTGAATACCTTTTTCAATTCATTATAAATCATTTCCCAGAACGCCTTCACTTTAGGGCAGGTCCACCAGAGGTGAAAGAACGTTCCTTCACACTCTTTACATTTCCAGCACTTGTTATCGGACAGGTGGTAAATTTTTGCAAGTTTGACTGGGGTCATATACCATCTATAAATCATTTTCATTACATTTTCTTTCAAAGCATTACATGCAGTAAATTTCAATCCATTACTCCACAGCCTTTCCCAGTCCTCAAACATAATATTATGCCCAATATCCTGTGCCCACCTTATCATAGCCGATTTAACCATTTCATCTTGTGTATTCCATTCCAACAGCAAGTTATACATCCTTGAAAGTATCTTAATCTTTGGTTCTAACAATTCTGTTTCTAATTTCGATTTCTCCACCTGGAACCCTAGTTTCTTATCATTTTTAAAAACTTCTTTAATCTGAGCATAATGTAACCAATCTCGCACTTTGTCTTTCATTTTCTCCAAACTCTGCAATTTCCAATTGTCTCCATCTTTGTCTAGTATTTCCCAATATTTTGGCCATTTGGCCTCCATCTTGGGTCGTGTTCGGGCCTTAGCTTCCAAAGGTGAAAGCCACCTTGGTGTTTTATTTTCCAGCAAGTCTTTATATTTTGTCCAGACATTAAACAGTGATTTTCTAACAATATGGTTCTTAAAGGCCTTATTTGCTTTAACTTTGTCATACCATAAATATGCATGCCATCCAAAAACATTGTTAAACCCTTCCAAATCTAACACATCAGTGTCTTCAAGAAGTAGCCAATCTTTTAGCCAGCAGAACGCTGCGGCTTCGTAATACAACTTTAAGTCCGGCAGGGCAAAGCCCCTCTTTGTTTTGCATCAGTTAGTATCTTGAACTTAATTCTGGGCTTTTGCCCTGCCAGACAAACTTCGAAATGTCTCTCTGCCACTTCTGAAAGCACTCCATTTTGTCCAAAACCTGAAGTGTTTGAAATAAAAACAACATTCTTGGCAATACATTCATCTTAATCGCAGCAATTCGGCCTAACAAAGAAAGTTTCAATTTTGACCAACTGTCTAAGTCTCTCTTAATTTCTGTCCAACATTTTTCATAGTTATCCTTAAATAGACTTAGATTTTTTGCTGTTATGTTTACTCCTAGGTATTTTACTTTTTAACCACATTAAGTTCCGTCTCATTCTGAAACCGTTCTGACTCTGTCTCAGTCAAATTTTTCCCAAAACCTTGGTTTTCTGTTTATTTAATTTAAATCCCGCCACCCGACCAAAGTCATTAATCAATTGTAATACTCTTTTCGTACTAGGCTCTGGCTTCTGCAAGGTCAAAACCAGGTCATCTGCAAAAGCTTTTAGTTTATATTGTTTCTGACCAACCTGAATTCCTTCCACCAACTGGTCCCCTCTAATCATGTTCAATAGCACTTCCAGAACCGAAATAAATAACAAAGGGGAGATAGGGCAACCTTGTCGTGTCCCTTTTTCAATTTTGAACTCTTCTGTAACCACATTATTAACTATCAGTTTAGCTTTCTGTTCTGAATATATCGCCTCAATCCCATTCTCAAAACCCCGTCCCACTCCCATCTCTTTTAAATTTCCCATCATAAATTTCCAGGAGATATTGTCAAAGGCCTTCTCCGCGTCTATAAAAATTAAAACTGCTTTTGTATTTATGTCTGTTTGCAAAAGTTCCAAGATATCAATAATGTTCCTTGTGTTAGCAAACAGATGTCTACCTGGGAGAAAACCGGCCTGGTCCTTATGAATTACTTCATTTAAAACTTTTTTAAATCTACTTGCCAAAATATCTGCAAATATTTTGTAATCCACATTTAAAAGGGAGATGGGACGGTAGTTCTTCAGTTGTGTCTTTTCAGCTTCTGACTTTGGTATCAATGTGATAAACGCTTCCTTCCACGAATCCGGTGCCCTCTTCCCTCCATAATTTCATTGCTAACCTCCATCAAGGGTTGTATCAAATAGTCTTTTAGTGTCTTATAATACTTGGAGGTCAGCCCGTCTGGCCCTGGAGATTTGCCAAGTTGCATGTTCTGAATAGCTTGTTCAATCTCCTGTCGTGTTATTTTAGAGTTCAGGGTTGTCCTATTTTCTTGTGACAGTTTAGATAATCCATTTTTGCCAAAATTGTTTAATCTCGACTTCGTCTTGCGGCCCTTGGGTATATAGTTTTTAAAATATCTCTGGAAACACTTTCTAATGTCCACTGGATTCTGAATGTTTCTTCCATCGACCTCTAAATTTGTAACCGTATTTAATCTTTGTCTTCTCTTCAACTGCCAAGATAGCAGTTTTCCACATTTATTCGCCGACTCAAACGTTTTTTGTTTCATTAATTTAATCTTCCATTCAATTTCCTGATTTATCAGTTTAGAATATTGTGTTTGATACAGTTTAATTTCTCTCAGAGTTGGCTGTGACTTTGGATTCACTCTTAATTTCTTCTCTAATTCTTTTATTTTATCCAAGATCTTGTCTTTTTTCTCATTTTGTGTTTTTTCCTTACTACATTCTGTTGTATCAAGAATCCCCTCATGACAGCTTTGCTTGCGTCCCAGACGATTCTTTTTTCCACCGAATTATTCATGTTTATCTCGAAATAGTCTTTCAAAACTTTTTGGGCCTTCTTGGTAAATGTAGGCCCAAAATCTTCCAAATCTCCAAGTTCTGGAATTTGGAAGAAAAGGACTTTAAAATTGTGTCAGCTTTCAGACTTGGAAGATTCATAAAGAAGGAGAGGCCCAGAGACTGTTTGATAACATTGAGATCAAAGGAGGAAAGGGATAAGATTTTGGGATGTAGGCCCAAAATCTTATCCCTTTCCTCCTTTGATCTCAATGTTATCAAACAGTCTCTGGGCCTCTCCTTCTTTATGAATCTTCCAAGTCTGAAAGCTGACACAATTTTAAAGTCCTTTCTTCCAAATTCCAGAACTTGGAGAATTCTTTGGTCAAAAATTCAGTTAAATTTCCTTCTTCTGCCTCTTGTAGTGATCTAATCCTCAGATTGTTCTCACGATTTCGCAGTTCTATCATAGAAAGATAAATCTGATGTTCCCCAACTTGTTTAGTAAGTGGTCTTACCTCTTGCTCTAAATTTTCTAATTTTTGTCTGGTGTCCTCAGCCAATTTCCGATTTTCTGCTGAGGCCTCCGTTAACTGTCCAATTGCTTGTGTATTCTGTACCACTTGTATGGTTAATTTATTTAGACATTCTGTATTTTTGTCAATCTTTGCTGATTGCACATCTACTTTCTTGTCCAAAGCTTCCAATTTTTCAAAGATTTTGTCTAGAACAGAAACAGATACTCCTGAGGCCATATCTTCCAGTTGTAACTGCTCTGCTTCACCCTCTCCCTCTTTTGCCTGTAACAAGGCAACTTCTTCAACTTCTACTTCTGAGGGCAAAGTAGGTACAGATGATCTACGTGTCTGCGAGGCTGAGGTTAGAGTTGTTAAAGTTGTTTGTCTAACTCTCCCTCTTTTTCTTGTGCCACTCATTCCAACGTTATCTATCAGTCAAGGTCACACTGAGTTTTTCCCATGGGAATGGAAAGGCCCAGAGCGGCAAACAACAAGGGAATCAAAAGTAAATGTACATGTAAAGTCACTGTTTTAATCCAATCCTCTAGAGGGAGCCTAAAATGTCTTTCAGAGTCTAATTTAATATCCAAGAACCTTCAGATACAAATATTTAGCAGAGTTTATAAATGGTCACTTTGTTACAGACAGTGCTTATTTGTCTCAAAAACAATGTTTCAAATTTAAAAGGTCTCAATACCCTCAGATTGTTGCAAGTTCCAATATACAGTATCCAAATCTGCAATACTGACAGCTCAATCTCTCAATGCTCAGGCAGCTCCTGACTCTGGGTTTCACCTTCTAATTTGTAATCCAATAAAAGGAGGAAAGTCAAGTGCAAGTAATAATTCCAAATCTTTAACTTAAAGTCTTTACCTTCAATTGCAAGTTCAGTAGATGCTTAGATCTGTAAAGTTTAAAATCTCTTTCTTTCAGCCTCCACTCCTCCAGCTCGTTGCTTTTTCAAGTTCAATGGCTGCGGAAGACGGACTTCCTGTTTCCACGTCTCTCCGTCTCTTCAAACCAATTAGGATTTTTCATTTAAAGTCTCTAATTTCAAGTAATTTCAGTCTTTACTCACGAATAAGTTGCTTTTCATCCGAATCCGAATTTTGACAGGAAAAGGGATCAGCGCTCACCGGCAACAGCAGCGCGGCTTCGCTCCACAGACTGTGAAGCAGCTCTCAGCGCCGCAACCCCCCTCCACGCTCCGGAGCCCCTTACGGGGTTCCTTTCGCGTTGGAGGGTCGCTCAAGGCGCCCACCGAGCCCCAAGACCCCAAGCTCTTGCTGCCTGGGGTTTTCCGATGTGGGTCTCCGCTTCGCCGTAGCGGACGACCCGTTGTCTGCGGAGCCTCCTCTCCCGTTCAGAAGAGGACCGCCATTTGCCGTTCGCGCCGCCCCCGGAAGTCGACACCTAGATCCTTTTCACATGTACTGCTCTCAAGCCAGGTGTCACCCATCTTGTATTTGTGCCTCTCATGTTTTTTGCCCAAGTGCAATACTTTACATTTCTCCCTGTTAAAATTCATCTTGTTTGTTACTAGGAATGCAATTCAACCCTCCTTCCCTCTGCTCCTCAGCTGTCATTTCTTCTAATCAATCCCTTAGTTACGTTCAGACCTTTTTCTAATCAGCCTTGTGGGAATGCTTTTTTTGCTTTTCTCAGTGGAACTGCTGTAGCAATAGAGGGGCAGTAGAGAAGTGGGACTATCTGCAGCCTCCCCAGCTGCCTCCAGGTGCGAAAGGTCACAGTAGGAATCCTCTGTCTCTTGCCTCACAATGCTGTGCTTGCAGGGCGGTTTCCTGGAGAGGGTTTGTGTACGTGGCTTCTTGGCATTCTCCAATCTATATCTGGGCAGAACAATGGCGGGAACCATTTCACTGATTCTTTTCCTGGGGGAGGAGAAATCCGACTGGCCATTTCTTGGGGCAGGCATGCCAGACCCACTGGCGGAGGAAGAGGAGTGAGGGGGGAGCGCACTGCCCCAGGCAGCGCAATCCCGGTGGGGTGCCATCGTGGTTGCTCCGCCTGCGCGGGGTGCCACACTCCTGCAGGCAGCATGCCACGCCCCCAGGATGCACATCACACCCCTGCAGGTGGCCGCCATGCCCCCAGGGTGCACGCCAGCCCTGCCTCTGCCTGCTCTCCACCCCCCGGTGCCAGAGCATGAAGCTCTGCCACTGGCCAGACCCCAAGGGGCAGTGCCCTCCAGCCCCACGCCGAACGCCTCCCCCTCAGCTGCCCTGCAGGTGGAGGGCGCCGGGAGGGACGCAGCTCTGGCAGCGCCCCCCGCCTCCAGATGCCCCACCTCCCTACGGCATTGGCCATGGGCACCAGCTTGCCCCCCATAGGGGGTGCATCACGTGTCGCATCCTGCCCCCACCCAGCAGGCACTGGGTCAGGCCAGGTGGGGCGGGCAGGAGGCGGCAGAGCAGGGCCGCTGGGCTCAGCGCTTGGCCTCCTCCCCGCTGCCTGGCCCAGGCGGGGGATCTTGGCCCTCACTTGCCCCAGCCCCCCCCCCAGGCACCCAGCAAGGGATCTCGGCCCCCTGCTTGGAACAGTGGGGCAGCTGAAGCCCCTTGAGCCCCATATACCTGTCAGTCGCTCATCATATTTCTTACTGATTTTTAAAGTGTGTGTACATGGAAAGTTTCTCTTCTTCTTTCTTACTCTTTTTAAAGTGAGTGTACATTAACAGCATTTCTTCGTCTTTCTTTTACTTCCAAAAGTCCTTAAAACTCAGAATCTCCACAACAGTTGTGTAAAATTGACTCCAAAAAAACCTTTTCACAATTTTAAGCCTGTGAGTTAATTCTGACACGTACTTTCAGCTTGATTTCAGTGCTTATATTGTGTTGTTTTAGCAAAACAAATACAATGTTTTTGCATTGCAGGGGGTTGGACTAGATGACCCTTGGTTTCCCTTCCAACTCTAATATTCTATGAAGTCTCATTTTATGTAAACTTATATGAGCAGTTTTAAATGTATTTTATTTGAAGTTCAAATGGGTTTTGCATTGCTCTCTTTTGATATGGTCTGCAGACTAATAATACAATTTGATTCTATTCACTGGAAGCAGTAGGAAGTCTGATGGCAGCTTGGCCACCATTTTGTATCTTCCAAATTGCCCCAGGCCTAGCATTGTTCTAGAGCATTGTGTAGGTCTGTGTGGGGTGGGAGGCATTGGCAGATGCTACAAAAAATGATGGGAAATATTCAGAATAAACTCTGGAAATTGACTTTTTTGGGGTGAAGGAGAAAGAAAGAATGAGAAAACAAATGATCTCAGATGTTTTCTCAGGGAAACACTTCTGAGAAATTTGGCCCAGCTCTAGTTTCATCTAGCAAGATGCCTCATTGGTCATATATATATGAGAATATTTCGTGGGCTCTGTTTGAATCGGAGGCCCATAAGTTGTGCAGACCTCCTCTAATTTGTAATTATCTGTATGTTTTTATGTGTGTGTGTTAGTTTTAATTCTATCAGTGTCTAATTGTTTTTAATGATTCCTCCTCTGCTGCTGGAGGAAGTGGCTAAGGTATGAGGGGGGGAGGGAGCAAGTGGGGGGGCCACTGGCAGGAGGCGTGGGGCAGGAGGCGTACTGGCACGTTTTTTCTTGGGGGAAAAGCCTTGACTAAATGTCCATTTTCTTTTTTCTTTTTTGTTTGTTATGCAAGAAAATATTTAATAAAAAATAAATTTAAACATAGCTTGAAATTACAAAAATAAGATGGGTGCTAAAAACACACCTCCCAAGTGTCAAAAACCAGAGTGAGCAGGTGTGCCCTTAGCATTCAGTGAGAGCTGTATAAGGAAGGTGCTGGTCGCACTTCTGTGGGGAGGGAGTTCCACAACTGAGGGGCTGCCACAGAGAAGGCCCCCTGGCCGGCCGCCACCCTGAGCTGCTGAGAGGGGAGAGCAACCAGGAGGGCAACAGGGCCTATGTGGTCATGGGACCCCTTTGCCTCCCCACTCTCCATGTGTTGCACAATATAAATACTTACAAAAAATTACAAATCAATGTTAGTTGATATTTTTATTTCATGCTTTCCTCGGGGGTTGTTGTCAAAGGAGCCTTTGGGGCAGGAGACGATTTACAGCCAGGCCTGGCAGTTACTGGACAATTCAAGGCAAGCTTCTGTTTCCATTCTCCACATCATGTCTTATTAACAGGGGCTTTTTCTTTTTAAAGTTTCATTTCTATAAATTCTCAGTCTGTTGTCTTTTAGCCAATGAGCACATTTTAGAAATACAGCAAAGGGGGGACAATATGCTATGCATCACTTGCATTACTTTATAATTGTATGGCATTTGTTTTTAGGGGCAGAACAAAATAAACGACAGTAATGTTGCAAAAAGGAGGTCTCTTACATCAATGGCAGGATATGGCCCTGGGCGCTGAAAAAACACCCTGGTATGTTACTGAAAATATCTGAAGTGTTTGTCAGCCATAAAGGCAAGGACCTGTTAGTATTCTTGTTCCCTTAAATATAATAGATTTCTGCTGAGTTTAAATTATACTTCTGGTTATTTTTTCATTTCAGTAGAATTCTTCATACATTTAGGACATGAAACAAATGCTTAAATTCAGCATTAGTGCTCTAGTGGAAATCTGTTCAGGGATTTAGAGCTCCCCAGCTATACTGTGGAATATTCATTCTCATTAAAGATGAAGATGGCTATCACGTCTTCTGACACAATTTGGGATTTGGGGGAAGACCTGCAGCATTTGGAGGAGAGCAAGAAAATGACATGCACATAGTCTGCTGTTTTCGTTTGAAATGTATAGCAGAAAAATT